GATAATTTTTTCAGTGTAGAATACAAGTAGTTGTGTAGTGTTTTTATAAGAGATTATATTAGTTTATTTTGTAGATGAGTAGTAGGTGAAGTGAAGGTATTTTTTCTTTTTGTTTTTCTTCTAATTGTAGTAATTCTATTAAGTATTGTGATAGATACACTATATCTTCCTTCAACTTAGTTGAAAAGTGCGTTATCATATAATTTTGGTTTTTTGGTAGTAGAATATACGGAAAAAAAATCTGATCAAATTTATTTTAAATTAAATTAATCGAGTCTTATTAATCAAATTAATCTAGTCAAATAATAATAATAGTTAGGTTCTAAGTACTATACAGGGTGAGTTTCCTACGATGTTCTCTATGGGTATCTCGGAAACTACTGGAGATAGAGAGTCGGTTAAATGGGAAAAGAATTGCAGTTTTGTGGGGTCATAAATATGCGCCTTTCGGATTTTTCGGAGAAGTTCAAGGCTTACTAGATATTTCGAAAAAAACAAATTTTGGCTATTTTAAAACTTGTCTCTAATTCCATTATAATCTACCGTATGATCGAATAAAAACGGCGTCAACGATGGCTATGAAATGAAGATCGCTGTCATTTTATATGTAAAATTATATGGGAAATATCATCGATCGTCATTTCATAGCCATCGCTGACGCCGTTTTTATTCGATCATACGGTATTTTAGACAAAAAGTTTTCAGATAAAAGTTGTAGATAATCACATACCATGAGTTTGTGTTTTCTTTTTTTTTCTAAAGCCTGTCATTTTTGACATATGACACAAACATTATGTTTTTTTAAATGGAAACCATAGTTGGCCATGACTTCATAAAAAGCTCCATTTTTTAAGACTGTCAGCGATATAGGTATAATATGTTTTTTTCGAAAAATTACAAGTTATAGCCAATTCTTTCCTTTCTTGGCAAATTTTCGTACCAATAATACCATTCCAATTAGTTGGCATGAAAAATGTAAAAGTTTTATGTTTTCAAAAAAAATATAGTAAAATTCATAAAGCACTCAATTTAGAATAAAATAATCTAAGAATGAAATGATTCTTTTATAAACCTGCATTAAATCAAATTAAAATAGGTATGTAACTTTTTTTAAATATTAATTAACAAAAATTAGCATTATCATAAATTATAAATAATGTACCAACATATCGAAATAATAATTTCTTTGTTAATACGGTTTAGAATTCTTAAAATAAGAGGCAAAAATAATCCACAATTTACAATAAAATAAAAGTTTCGTTTAAATTTCTTAATCAGCTGATCACTATTAAAGTTCGCAGAAACCCGGGGCTATATTATTACATTACTCTGAGGAAAATAACGAAAATAATCGATATTTTTTACTCCGCCCCGAAAGGTTCACGATTTGTCCTCCAGTTGGCAGCACATTTTGTCTAGTCGGTTGGGCAACTTTAAGAATATATAAACAAGGGTATAACCAAAGTATACAGAATTAGTATTAATGTTTTTTATTAGTCCAAGGTTAGAAGTCATCATAAATATCCCCATTTACTTTTATTTTAGAGTCAGTTGGGGTTTTTTAAGTGATAATGAATGAATATAAAAAATCCGAGAAATAATTTTAATATAAAAAATCCGAAAAAAAACTGTTAAATTAAGTCACCAATAGACAACCGATATATAGAGGGTGTCCCAAAAGTTTAATTTTTCAATTTTACCCTGTATCTCAGAAACAAAAAATAGTTTCATAAATAGTAGCCATCCATGCAAAATACCGATTCATGCGTGTCAAAAAATGACCACCCATTTTTAGAGTTAATAAGATTCTAATTTGTTACATGTACCGGGTGTCCCACTAAGAATAGCTCCCGGCTGTATCTCGGAAAGTATTAGCCGTAGGGCTTACGGAAAAAAATATTTAACTAAAGGGGCTATGAGAAATTGCTGGAAATTATCTTCAAGTTTGTAAAACGGCCGCTAGGTGGCGCAACTGCTATGGAAAATTAAAAAATAGATTTTTTACAGAATTTTGTCTAGATAATGGGTACTATAAATAATAGCTTCATAATCTTCAGTAAATTTTGGATTTTTTTTTGTTAGAACCATTTTCTCCTATCTGCTAAAATAAAATGGTGGGGGAAGGTTAAATCAATCTTTATTTAAATGTTAATAACTCCGGACTGGATGATCAGAATCCAACAAACAAGGGCTCATTTAGAAGAGCGTTTCTTACTCTATTGTATTATACAATAAAAATAATAATAATAAGGTTTTGAACGTAGACGCTAGGGGGCGCTTTCTTACAATTTAACAAACATAGCGTTTATCCAAAAAAATCCTTATGGGTTTTTCGCCACTGCACTGCAAGAAAAATCTACAACATTAATCTTGTAAACACTTCTGCGTTAAACCTAAACGGACGCTGCTTGTCAGAAGTTGTGTTTACAGTAATAAAAATTTGCCTAACAAAGAAAAAAATGCTTAACGTTTCGGAAAGTTTTCTCTTTCCGTCGTCGGAAGCAAAAAAATATAAAGAATCAAGAAAAAAACTATTTAAAATATTTAAATTAAACTATATTCGAGAACACTTTACTTTTTAAAACAGATACGTCTACAAGAAATCGTTGACGTTCTGTTAAAATGACATTATATTAAGTTAAACTTCAAAATTAACAATTACTACCTGATAATTACTTAATAAGGTAAAACCAAAAAGCCCAAACTTTCTGTATGATTATTTTTAAATTTCACGTATGTTATGTTTATTTATGTAATGTTCTTTAAAATCAAAGAAGCGATTGCCATACATTACTAACATCTACAGATGCATGAGCAATACATTTATTTTTATTAGATTGAATTAAAAAAGCCTCTTTTATTTTTTCTTTTAGAGGCTATCGCTTCTTTCATTATAATTTTGGCGTTATTTAAATTTATTCTGTGCCCTGTGTCCCATGAATGCTGACAAATCTTAGATTTGTGAAAATCTCCCTTTCTTAAATAATCTTTATGTTCTTTAATTCTAACATTTAAGGGTCTAGATGTTTCACCAATGTAAAATTTATCGCATTCACAGGGTATTGGTATATTACATTTTTGTTTGTTGTTCTGTATTCATTGGTTTAGTATGTGATAAAATTGATCTAAGTGTATTTTGTGTTTTGAAAGATGTTTGTATATTATATTGTTTTCCTATCCTTCTTATTTTTTCCGAAACGCCTCGTATGTATGGAATTGTAAGTTGTATATATTGTGTATTGCTATCTTTGTGTCTATGATTTGGGACAAAATGTAATAATAAAATCGTTTGCCATTTCTTGATGTTTTAGTGTCAAAATAAAATAAACTAATTTTAGATGTTTACAGAAAACCGACAAACACAGATAGATACTTAAATTTCACATCTAATCACAGTATAAGTGTAAAAAAGGTGTTATAAAAAGTTTATATGATAAATGGCAAAAATAATATGTACAGACGACATTTCACTAAACAAAGATATAAACCACATAAAAAATACATTAATAAAAAACGACTATCCACCATATTTTATTGACAAAACATTAAACGAAATACAAACCCCAAATCAGGATTTTTTTGGATAGATGAATCCGCCACATAGATATAGACATTTTTTAAACATACCGTTTTTTTTTTTCAAAAAAATTAAATACGATAGTATGTGTTATTTTAGCTGATAGTAAAGAGTAGTAAAAGCTTAAAAAGTCAGCGAAAACCGCATTCTGATATCTTCTTTCAAACCGAAGATATTAGCAAAATTATAATAAATACCATAAAAATAAGCCCTTAATTACCTTATTTTTACAATACAGTATCAGTAGCCCTCTTGATTAGGCCCATTCTAACAAAAAAATAAGATAGAAACAGTTAGTTTATTTTAAAATCCAGGAAATACTAGAATACCATAATACCAGATGTATTAATATCTAATAATTAAGATATTAATAATAGTGAACAAGAAACGATGATTCAGTGAAGTCATGGTAGGCTTTTGAAAAAAGTTAGTATAAACGTCAGTTGTTATTAGATCAACATTTTGATAGTCTAGAAGCATTTTTTTATCTTTTAAATGCTTTTTCAAAATGCCTTTATTATTTGAAGTAGTTGAAGTTGTTGGCATTTTGAAAAAGCAATCAAAAGATAAAAAACGCTGCTAAGACTATCAAAATGTTGATCTAATAACAATTTGACGTTTATATTATTACGTCAAAAGAAACTTTTTTCCAAAGCCTACCATGACTTCACTGAATCATCGTTTCTTGTTCACTATTATTAATATCCTAATTATTAGATATTAATACATCTGATATTATGATATTCGGGTATATCGTCGATTTTAAAATAAACTAACTGTTTCTATCTTATTTTTAGGTTAGAATGGGCATAATCAAGAGAGCTACTGATACCGTGTTGTAAAAATAAGGTAATTAAGGGCTTATTTTTTGGTATTTATTATAATTTTGCTAATATCTTGTGTTTGAAAGAAGATATCAAAATGCGGTTTTCGCTGACTTTTTAAGCTTTTGCTACTCTTTACTATCAGCTAAAATTACATATACTATTGCATTTTTTTTTTTTGAAAAAAACGCGCAATGTTTGTTAAATTGTAAGACAACGCCCTCTAGCGTCTACGTTATTATTATTGTTTATACGGCACAATATAGAGTAAGAAACGCTCTTTTAAACGAGCCATCGCTTGTTGGATTCCGATCATCCAGTCCAGAGTTATTAATATTCAAATAAAAACAGATCTAACCTTCCCCCACCACTTTATTTTCGTAGATAGGGGAAAATGGCTCTAACAAAAATTATTCAAAATTTACTGAAGATTATGAAGCTGATACTTAGAGTACACCTTATCTAGGCAAAATTGTGTAAAAACTACATTTATATAAATATTTTTTTCCGCAGCCGCTACGGCTATACTTTCCGAGATACAGCCGAGAGCTATTCTTAGTGGGACACCCTGCACATATACTACAGGGTGTCCCATTTTGTTTGAAATCATACTGTATCTCCGTTATTAGTGAAGATCGAAGAATGCTGTTTGCACAAACCTGTCCCACTTTTTTGTCAACTGACAGACGCAGTACACTCAATTTTCATAGCCCTCTTTTTATCTGAACTACACTGCTCTTTTGCTCTAAGTTTTTTTGAAAATTTTGCAATTTGGGATATCCCCGTATCTCCTTTACTGCGAAAGGTATTGAGAAGGTGAAAACTGTTTATTGTAGATCTTTTACGTAGAATTTAGTAGCGTAGTTTGTTAGTTTACGAAAAGAGTATTTTTGAAGATGATTAAATAGAACACCCTGTACATTTATAAATCATATGATCTGCCTTGCTTTGGGCTACTCGAAAATATATAACGCTCTATATTTATTTTCACACTTAAAACTGGAATGACTAACTAACTTCTATCCAAAAACTAATTTCAAAATGAGTACTTACAACAGAACTATAATAGGTATATAATTAAATTATCAAGGTAAACGAAAAGAGCTTCGAAATATCGCATATCACCTTGTATATTTCTTCATTCTTTGTACCTCTTTAACTATTACGTAAAATACATCTGGAACCTTAAAATCAAAATAAACACTTCGACTTATTTCGTGAGTAGTGGAGATGACCTCTCCACTACTCACAATTTAAGACGATAAATAAATTAGATTTATTTTATTATTGAAAAGAAATTTTGTGTTTTGTAAAAAAAAAGTTTACTTAGCACAGTGATGATTAGCAAACATCAACCCATTTTGATTCCAGAAATTAAACCCAGAGATGCTAAATCTATGTTTGTGTTGTATTGACACAACTTTTAATGTGACTATTAAGAGCTCCACGAGATACACACCCACTCCCACAGTACGGACATATATAAGGTCTTTCCCCTGTATGACTTCTGATATGTATTCTCAACGGAGCACCTTGATTGAAACATTTTCCACATATTTCACAACTGTAAGGTTTCTCGCCCGAATGAATCCGCTCGTGCATAATCAAATAATCTCGTTTTATAAAACTTTTACTACAATAAACGCAAGAGTAAGGCTTTTCCCCGGTATGCTTTCTATAATGGATTTTTAATTTATCGGGTCTGGAGAATCCCTGTCCGCAAACATCGCAAAGATGTTTCTTTTCGTAAGGACCAGTCCGAACATTCAAATGTTTGGAAGAATAATGTTTTTCTAATGTATCCAGCCGAGCGAAAATTTTCTGGCAAACGTTACATTGTGTTTTTGATTCTGGATCGTACACTCTGACCGTATGCGTTCGGGTTTGATGGGAAAACAAATATCTGGAGTAGTAAAAATGTTTACTGCAAACGACGCACCCGAAAGGTTTAATGTTCAAATGAACGTTCTCGTGCTCTTTGAAGCTGAGGGCGTCATTGAAACACTTGCCGCATTTCGTGCATTGGAAGTCATAAAGCTGTAGATGCAAGTGGTTGATGTGGACGTGCATAGCTTCCTTTTTCTGGGACACGTACTGGCACCAGGGACAGGGATAAAGCTTGTCGTCCCGATGCTTTTGCACGTGGACTGAGTAGTTTATTGGACCGAATAAGTCTTCCTTGCACACGTAGCAGTTGAATTTTTCCTCGTGCGTTTCTACGTGTTTTTCGATTTCTTCCAGATCCTGACATTCGGCTGAACAGTTGTTACAAATATATATTTCGTGTTCTAAATCATAAGTGTATTTGTTTACTTCCCCGTTGCTTCCCTTGGCATCTGCAATATGTTCTTTTCTATGTTTGAACATATCTTTTCGAGAACCGAACGTATCCAAACAGAACTTGCACGTCCACATGTTGGCTTTCTGATTCCGGGTTAGTTTCTGAGATACTTCCTTTTTCTCCCTCTTAATTCTGAGCTTAGGTTCCCTGGTAGATTTTCTCACTTTTTTCGTTGTTGTACCTTCCTCTAAATTCCACGTGGGATCCTTTTTAATTTTCTTTACTAGTTTCTTTCTGCCTTTTCGAGGGTGTAATATAACGTTATCATCAAAGAAAGTATACGATAAATCCTCGTTTTTTATTTCTACGTTGATCCTAAAAAAATAATTTATTGAATAAACTGTCCGGAATGAAAATCGATAAAAAAAGATGTCAATTACTTTACTTACCTATTTTGCGTAAAAAACTGTTGGTATAAATTTTAGTTTTTATTTAAACTTTTAATGAAAATGTTTTTCCGAACATTTAGTTGTTAGGGCTCGTAATGGTCAGGTTCTTGCAGGATAAGGGATAGTCGCCAAGGGATATTTTCCTTTGGGGAACATTACTTGACGTCATTTGTAAAAGTGAAATCAATAAACCTCAACATTTACAACAAAGAGTACAAAATACATTCGGAAGTATAAGCAGATCTGTTGAAAGAGCTATACTTACATAAAATTGAAGGAAAAATAAATTTGTGCATTAGGGAGGGTGGTAATCCTATCGAACATGTAGAACATTAGAAACTGGTTTGTTGATCTTTATTGAAACATAATAATTACGGATTAATATTATGTATTATATTACTAGATCTCTACATTCAGATTTCAAATTCATAATACAAAAAGGTAAAAATAATATCATTAAAATATTGACCTGGACTTTACTTATTTGAATCTTCCGTTTGGCTAGATTTTCCTAATGAATGTTAATTAGCGCTCATCAGTATTGTTACGATTATTATAATAAGGTTAAATAATTAACAAAAACAGAGTCGGACTTGAAATAATTTAAATAGTGTTGTTAAAGTACCCAAAACAAAAGAAAATATTATGTGTGGCATATCGTTGTACTCAGGGGACGGAATTCTTTCAAAACCTGAAATAAAAAACGCAGGTCCGTATTTAAAAAAAAAATAGGTTCGTCTATGTATCTCAGAAACTATTAACTAATTTGAAAATTTCAAAATACAATCAGATAGCCCTGATAAAGTGGCCATGAGAATACGACGTATTTTTTCGATTTTCTCAAAAGTTACGGCAGGAAAAAATAAAACTGATTTTCCAGAAAATCATTTTTTTTTTCAAAAAAAAACAGCAATCCTTTCTTTTTTTCCAACTTTTTTGATAGCATGTTGGCATACATCTCAAGACGCAGCTGTGCCCCAATTTAACCATGTTCGTATATCTATTACGGTTTCCGATATACCAATGCTCGTTCCTCGAATTTGTAGCACCCTGTATAGATAAATAAAATATTTTTTTATATAAGCAAATAAAGAAACCGTTCCAGGTGGAATAGAGTCCAATTGCAACAATAGCAAAGGTTACTTTGCCGATAGGGAAAGTGGGATAATACCGCGCATCTGCGATATCATTGCAAAAACTATCAAATGCATATAACAATCATATCTGACCCAGTTTGTTTAAAGCGGATATGGTAAAAAGGTACTCATTGGTAATATTTCAAAAGCGATTAAACTTAAAGGAGTTAAACTCCCATTTTGGTTGCAATTGAGGTTTATCTCACTTCACACCCGCTTATTAGTTAGAACCTTAGAACAGAACAGAAAGCATTAGTTTCAACGAATCTTAGCTGCTTTTTTTGTGAAACCAAAGATGCGCGTGCAATAGTTTCAATATTTATGAGTATTCTTTCAGCCACATGAGAGTTATCAGAAAAAAAAAACATATGTAAATACTATAGAAAATATTATCTATTTATATGCTTCACTTGTTTACAAAACCTTTTTCTCTATACCTACATAATGTATGCTTACAAATCTAGGTACATACATTTTTAGAGTTCTTCATTACATACATACATATTTCAAAGCAATATGTCGATAGGTATTAATGCCCTTTTATAAAATGTTTAATGTAATCCAAGTACAATAATTAATTTCCACTCCATATTCAAACTTAAAAAAAAATATAATAGCACTTGAACTGTTTTTCTTTTGGAAAAAATAAATGTATTTGTAAAATATAATCAGTGGAGTGCGAGTTAACCAAAAGCCCTTGTATAAAGAAGAGGTAGATACATTCACTAAGCTTATTTGCTTATCAAGTAAAAATACTTCAAAGGTGTATAACACTAAAACTCATTATTAATAAATCTGCAGACCAGACTAGGCAAATATCTTTATTCGAGAATACCTGTCTTATTAATAGGATATTGTTTTATTAGGAGTAAAAATTACACTTTCTGTGGCGAGGCACAAAAAGTCAATTTTACTCCGAATAGAACATGCTACTTTTTTCCAAACGCCACAAATAAGTTTTTAAACAATTTCAAACGTTCCAAATAATATAAAAAGATTTAAAAGTCATACCTTGTATGTAATTATAAAAGGTGGTCCCAAAGGGTGGTCCGAACCAAGGATACAATAGAGATAAGGATAGTTCGATTCCTATCATCCTGCACTGTCAAGTTTTTTTACGTCATCTACTGACCGAGTTGAAGTTGGCGCTGAAGATTTTAGACAGTGACAGTTATTTTTGCATTTGACGGACGAGCGCACAGTGCGTTGGAAGATAAATTTAGCGGGACAAAAGCGTTTGGTTAGAAATAAGCCAAAAAATGTGTACTGATAAGAATAAATAGTAGACATTCCAATTGAAACAAAAATGCATGAATATTCTTTGTATTTCGATACATTTTTATCAACCAAATTTGGTCGTTTTCTGCTCAGCAAGGCAGAGATCATACGAAAGCAAAATATTTACAAGTGCTTATACATTTTATTAGAAAGCCAAATTATGTTGAAGATTGCCAAAGGTATGTACTTTTCTACTGTACGTATATTATTTGTTAAAATCCTTCGTGCCTTTGTTCTGCAGATATCAAACTTTCACTTTTTTTTTCGATATTGAATGATGTAGATCTTTTGAGTTACCAAGAGTTACCAACACAGGTAGTCACAGTCACAGGGAGTTCAAGCTTAACAGGTGAATGCCCAAAAAGATTCATTTCTATCGGATAGTATAAAAACAAAAGAACTCCATCAAAAGGCACTGAGTTTAAAAAATTGTCTTGATACTTACTATATATGAAATTACAATTGCAGAGTGTTAAAATTAAAATTAAAATATCTATCTTATTTATTGTTTTCAAAATAAAATATATTTTTTTAAAATAAATTATAGAGGGTGTCACAAGATTACAAATTAATTAAAAAAAACTGCTAGAGAGTTTTTTGATATCATAATTTTATATATTTGGCAATAGTTTACAATACGGGTTTTGTGTATCATGTACGAATAATATCATAGTTTTATTATCTTGTATTTATTTATTAATAAATTAAGTTGTTAATAAATAAATAATTTAACCATATAGTTGCTATATATTAGACCATTTGCGACGTTCTTAGATTTTAAGTCCCAAACATTGCTCTTGAGATTTTGCCCCGCTAGAATAACCATCCCCCGCACTGTGGAGCGCTGGTCAGCGCGTGACGTAGCATTCCACGGCGACTACGACTGCGGCGATTTGACGCGATGGAACGGTCCTTTAGAATATATACAGTCCTTGGTCCGAACCAAGGATACTATAGAGATAAGGATAGTTCGATTCCTATCTTCCTGCACTGTCAGTTTTTTTACGTCATCTAGGGACCGAGTTGAAGTTGGCGCTAAAGATTTTAAACAGTGACAGTTATTTTTGCGTTTAACGGACGAGCGCACAGTGTGGCGGAAGATAAATTTAGCGGGACAACACCGTTTGGTTAGAAATAAGCCAATAATTTGTACTGATAAGAATAAATAGTAGACATTCCAATTGATATAAAAATGCATGAATATTCTTTGTATTTCGATACATTTTTATCATCCAAATTTGGTCGTTTTCTGCTCAGCAAGGCAGAGATCATACAAAAACAAAATATTTACAAGTGCTTATACATTTTATTCCAAAGCCAAATTATGTTGAAGATTGCCAAAGGTATGTACTTTTCTACTGTACGTATATTATGTACGTATATTATATACGTACATATATACGTATATACATCCTTCGTGCCTTTGTTCTGCAGATATCAAACTTTCACTTTTTTTTTCAAATATCGATATATTGAATGATGTAGATCTTTTGAGTTACCAATAGTTTCCAACACAGGTAGTCACAGTCACAGGGAGTTCAAGCTTAACAGATGAATGCCCAAAAGTTTCATTTCATTCGTCTCGTTAAAGGGTTAATTGAAGAGCATTCAAAAGAAGAATTGGGTTTTGCAAGTACTGTGAGCTTTAGGGCTAGTGGGAGTAAGAATGCTGCTGTAATTGTTGAAACCTTAACTCTATCGAAAGGCACAGAGTTTAAAAAATTAATAGCTACCCATATATCCGCGGACTTTGCCTTTCACGCAAACCTATGGTATTTTTTTATTTATGTTAGCATCATCAGCAGACGATTAAAAACTTATATACAATCTACAATTTGATCTCTACAAAAAAAAACATTAAAAAAAACTACAAAAAAAGCTCTAAAAGAATGTAACAACCTTATTGATTTTTCTTTAAAGAGAAAATGGCAAGTATCCAATCCCTCATTACCAAAATTGTATGCGTTGCCAAAATTCATAAACCGGATAAGTCTATGCGCCCAATTGTTTGGGCTGTAGGTTTTCCGACTTATAATTTGGCAAAATGGTTATCAAGGGAGTTCGAAAATTTACCTAATCATGAACCCTCTTTCTCAGTTAAAAATAATATTCAATTCATTAACAAAATTAAAAATATAACATTGCATGAAGGTGAAATTTTGGTCTCCTTTGATGTATCTTCGTGCCTTCCCAAGTGTTCCAATTCCACATACTTTAGGCTACTTGAAGGAATTACTGAACGCAAATGGTCTCGACAACAAAACTGTGATTGAATATATTGAGCTTACATCGTTATGTATGAAACAAAATTGTTTTCAATTTAATAACAACTTTTTTGAACAGCGGGAAGGTACAGCAATGGGTAATCCATTGTCTCCATTTTTGGCTAATTTATTCATGAGCAGATTTGAAATGGAGGCTAAGAATCAGATTTTCCAAGAGTATGGTTTAGGTATGTGGATCATATTTTTGCTGTTTTTGACACACATTCAGACACCATAGATAATTTTATTTCTAAGTTAAATAATCGGTTTCCTTTAAATTTACACATGAAATTGAGAACAACGACAGATTACCATTTCTAGATGTATTAGTTGTTAGAAATACTAATAATTGCCTGGAATTTGATATCTATAGGAAAAATACTACTACACGCAGATATATTCCTAATGAATCATATCACAGTGTTGAACATAAAATGGCTAGTTTAAATTTCTTAGTTCACAAATTAATTAGTTTTCCACTTTCCAACGAAAGATATGAAATAGAAAGAGATTACATTAGGAATGTAGCTTAGTGTAATGGATATTCTCCTTCACTAGTTGATAAAATAATTAGAAAACGTAGGTATAGGTTAATGATTTCTGAAAATTCGACTTTTCAAGTGGAGAAAGATACGTCAAAATATTTTTCAATACCGTTTGATAGGCAGTTATCCCGTGGTCTAAAAGGAATTTTTAAGAATGTCTATTATAAACTTGTGTAAGTGCTAATAATAAATTACAACAATTATTAGGTAATCCAAAGGATAAAACACCTCCACTGGAAAGGTCGGGTATTTATGAAATTTCTTGTAAAGATTGTAATCAGAAATATGTTGGGCAAACTAGAAGATCAATATTAACTAGATTTAAAGAACATTTAGCTCAGGTAAGATATGATAGACCGGATAAATCTTGTGTTGCCTAACATATTGTTGATAAAGAATATTGTATAGATCTTAATAATTTGAAATTAATTAAACAAGTCTCAAATTGCAGGCAATTAGCTGCATATGAAAGCATCAGAATAAATAAATGTAAAGATAGTATGAACAGAGACAACGGTCCAATTCCTTCAAGTTCTTTTACTACAATTCCTTCAAGTTCTCTACTACTCTAGTAGCGGAAATCTAACTGTTACGCTCGGTGGGCTCTGACTTGGTTGGCTAGATCTTGCCACGCCCACTCGGTGCCCACTGAGCGAGTATATAAACGCTCAAATTGTAGATTGTATTTTAGTTTTTTTTAATCATCTGCTGATGATGCTAATATGGTTAGCGAAATGCGCGTCCAGTGTAAAAGTAAAAGTGTTTTGGTGTATTGTGGTGATTTAGTGTTTTATTTTATTGTGTAACACCAAAGGTTCCAACCCTCAACTGTAATCTGATATCTATTTATAAAAACTTATATTTGTGAAAAATATAAATCAATCACATTATAGTTCTAAACGAATGTAGCTAGCATTAAGGCAAAATTATAAGAAACAAATACAAAATAAAATTGATAAGTAGATTCTACATTATGTACACAATTTAATTATAATTTTTCTCCTTTAAAAGGACAGTTCAGTTTAATTTTTCGGCTCGTTTGGTTTTGTTTACGAAATATACACAATGAACCCCCCCCTCCCCCCCCCCAAATGCCTAGTAAAGAAAAATTATAGTAACACACATAATGTGGGAACTAATGGTAAGAAATAAAAAAAAAACTGTCAATTAAAGATGCAAAACGTTTATTTAAACCGATCACACACGGTGTGCCAAACACCTTCCAACGTTGGACACATGAACATTTGCCACATCGTGTAGGAGACACACTTGTGAATTGCAATATTGTCGAAGCCTATGCCAAATGATGAGTTGGTTTGGTTAGGTTAGTCCAAACCAACGCATTCAGATCCGGTCCTGTTGGCGCTTTTTAATATATTGTGATCTATTCCTGTCTATACTATTTTTTATTTTTACAATTTTAATAAACTTTATGATAAACTAGCGTAGAATATTTATTTTGTAATTCTAAACAGGCACTAAACCATATTATGTTCCAGTTTGATTTTATCACCATCGGGTGGCCTCTTCGTGTTTTCCCTTTCTGCACGATGCACTTTCTGGTGTCGCGTCACATACTGTTTTTGTGAGAACGTTTTCCCGCACGTATCACAACTGTAGTTTCGTTCGCCCGTGTGAACACGCATGTGTTTCTTCAGGTTGTGATTATTAGCGATAATCTTGTGACAAACCGGACATTTAACAGTGAAATCTTTTCCGATTTTATGGATGCAGCTCAAATGCCGTTTAAAGCTTTTTTCGAAAGTGAACTTTCTACCGCACAATTCACACTGGAAAATTTCCTCGGTACCGTACAATTCTTTTTTGTGATTAAATTTGTTATGGAGCTGAAGATACGATTTAACCGGGAATTTTTTGTGGCAAATCTCGCATTCGTATTTCGGTATGTTCTCGTGCCACTCCATATGTTCTTCTAGTTTCTTTTTGCAAAGAAAACCCTTTTTGCACAGGTCGCATCGTACCGTGTAGTTGTCTTCGTGGCGTTTTATATGAGCTATGATGGAGTTGCGAAATTTACTGGTGGCGATGAAGCCACAAAGCGGACACGCGTAGGTTTTTGTGTGGACGAATCTGTGCAACGCCAGCTTCGTGATGTTTTTGAAGATCATGTTGCAAAAGTCGCAGTTGTACGGGTTATCAGTGTCGTGCACTTCCCTGTGTTCTTTTAGAAGTTTCTCGTTTTTGAAGTTTATCAAACACAAATCGCAGGAAAACATCGTAGAATGGCTTTTGAGATGACTTCTTATATCTAAAGTGACTTTTCCGCATTTCGGACATAATCCCGATTTATCTTGCTTTCGTTTGGATGATTTACTTATCATCTTGTCTTCTTTTGAATACACTGATCGATCATCTTTATCGGATTCATCGCTGCCAGATTTCCACTTCGTATCTTCATCAGTCCAATAATCATCATTCCATGAATCATTTTTAATCTCATCCGATATTACCTGGTCATCTATATCATCTTTAACATTTAGTCTTTCGATTGCCTTCATTTTACAGCTTCTCTCCCTTTTATTAATCAGTCTTTTCTTTAAAGGTACATTTTGATCTATATCGCTATCAGTTAGTCCATCTGAATCATTTAGTGTATGGTCTCTTTTCTTCTTGCGCGTTTTCTTAGGAACACTTTTAGGTTTTTGAATAAACTTCTTTCTTCCAGAACATTTTTTCTGTATTGAGGTTGTTTTTTTCGTATTGGCATTATTCCTCTTTCCTCCGTTAAATTTGATTTTAGTATTAAATCTCTTAAAGAGGGTCCTAGAAACAAAATTACTATATTAGTTAATTTATAAAAACCAAAAAATATGAAACGTTATGAACTCAGTTTTGCTACATAACAACTTACCATAAATACTATTACAATTTTCATGTTGACCCTATATTAATATTAATAATATATTAATACCAGTGCCCTTTTCACCCTGTTTTCACCATATCGATAAAATCAATAGTTAACTTTAATTATCGAGATTCCTAATGCCGGGTCCAGACCAAAGCGACAAAAAGTAAACACGATTTTCAGACAAAAACAAGACAAACTTGTTACAAAAAATGGAGACTTCTGAGAAGACAAACTTGAGACAAATTGCCCACACCGCAATGGCAAAAGTACAATAAAATAAAAAGTTTAGTTGTTGCGAATGAGTTTTATCGTAACCACCGTAATAACAAGGCTGGATAGCTTATTCGTGACGTCATCAACTGGAGGCCTAAACTTTGATTGCAATTGATACACTTTATACGTATCTAATGGATATAAACTTTAATTGCACCGAATTTTTAATAAATAATAATTAAACATAAAATTTAAAAAACATCAGATTGATATCCCATCTCACATTATCCATCGTCATTGTATTTATTTATGCTGTAAGTGTGTCTAAGTTTCTTTTATTTCCTTTTCCAAGTCTATCAATTTTTTACAACAGTAGTTTTTCAGACGTGTATTTCTAATAGAATTTATGACAATTTTTACAATAACTTAGCATTATAAATAGTACATTGCGGAAAATTTAATAAGGGTGTTATTACTTTTAATGTAATCCAAAGATATTTTTGATAAAAATATTTTTTTATTGAGAATTTTGAGAAACTCCTCATGGCTTTGCAAAACTTTTATAGAACCAAAACTAGTAGATTTTATGGACATTAATCCTAAGTTTCTTTTCGCCTTCATATAAATGTCGAACACAAAAAATATTGTACTGACTCCCAGCTAACTGTCCAAACCTACTTTGAAGAGGATATAATATTTACTAATATTTTCCAAACCTACTTTTAAGAGGATCAGTTTGCAAGTTCTCTAGTAAAACATACCTCATATTTCACTCATTAAAACAATATTTTATTACTTCAAGCTCAACCTGTTACTCAACTCAAGTTAATAACTTTAATATTGAACACTGTAACGTTTTTAGTTCGTTACATGTCTTTGTATATGATATCAGGCGTATCATCACCGGATTCCCAATCGTTCAGGCCGGATAATTTATTTGACGCGCTTGGCGTAATTTTTACGTTCTCTAGTCCACAACCCTGTTATCGTTTGACACAACCCTGTTATCGCTCTGTGGAGGCGCTGTCAACATCGCTTCTGTCAACTCTCTGTGCTGTGGACTGACTTTTGCTTTTAGCGCTCTGTAGCCTAACCTAACCATCCCGGCTTTTAGAAATGGTGATTATTTAAATCTTGCTGTATGATCTGAATCAGCTGGTATTTCAAAGCAACAGGTAAAGATGAAATATTATCCTTTTAGATTCGATATTATTACTGCATATTTTGAGGGTAGAGTTTTGGATGTCCCAACTTAACTTGTATTTGTATTTTGCTGGCACGTTGGCGTCCCGTTTCTTTTGTCCTCCAGAATGTTACATGGAAGAAAGGACAGTTTCTTTGTTTATTATTGAGCCCTCGGAAGTAATTCGAGGTAGGTTTATTTTGTTTATTAGACTTTGTTTGGTTTTTTAAACAAGAGTTTCGTATTTTTAGGGTCTTATGGACGGACTATTTACAAGGTACGGGCATTATCCAAGGTCCTAGTAGTATCGAAGGTACGGGTAGTGTTCCCCTGTACCGTTATCTTATGGACGGACTGTGTCCAAGGTATGGGCAGGTGTCCCATATCTATGTATTGATTCCAAGGTTCTGGCATTATCCAAGGCCCTAGTAGTGTTCTAAGGTACGGGTAGTGTCCCCATATTGCCACAGTATGGATGTAGCGTAAGCCCCATGCTGCTCCGTTCCCATCCATAAGCTAGTTAGTAGTTACGGCTGTTCCAATTCATGGCGTCCTCATTCTGGCCCCTTTTGTATTGGATGGCCGAGTACAGAGATGCGAGACCACCTCACGCTGTTACTGTTTGAAGCAAGATTCCATAAAGAACAGCTAAGTGTAGATTTAAGTTCTAGTTTTACATTTAACATTTAAAACGTTTTCAGACTTAAACAATAACGTACATCTGAAGTAATATCGTACAGACTATGTTTAGTGGTTAGATTGTTAAGAACATTCATGTCGATTTAATATTTAAAATATGATTTAGATCTTAGGTTTCATTACATTACGTCTTGTAATGGTATTACTTTCATAGATATTTAGTACAACTCTTAACACCATTTTTTTTGACATATAACCACTATATATTTATTAGAATTCTACAATGTCATGTACCAGCAAAAAACATCATGAAATATAGTCATTAGTTTTAAGTAATATACAACTGTGTTTTCTTTCTCTGTACATGCCTGGCGCCCAATATCTGTATTTTTTTGTTTATTGTTATTGATTGGTTTTCTCTCTAGTGAAATACCTTATCCACGACTGCTCTCCGATGAAAAGCTGCCGTTCGCAGTGGTAATGTTTTATAAAAAACGCTACAACACAGATAAAAGTTTTGATTGATAAAAAGTGATAGATAAACATTTATTGACTGGTATGATTTTTTCCGTGTTCTATTAAAACTATTTTTATATACTATAATATTTTTAAAAGCTCAGATAAAGACATTTTAAAACTTCGAAATATATCTACTGAGTAAAAAAATGTATGGGATTTGTCACAACTTTGTCGTAAAACATGAATGTTTCTGTTTTGTCACTGTCTTGTCTGCTTGGTCTGGACACGGCATAAGAATCAGTTTGTAAGATGCATTTTTTGAGAAAATGAATATAACTCATAACAGCTCAACAAAAAAGTAAATTAAATGGCAACAAAAATGTTTTGACATAATTAATATTACAAAATAACAAAAAAAGCAAAAATGGCAAAATAAAACTCTTATTCACCACAATACATCAAAACACTTTATTGTAGCACTAGACGCCCGTTTCGATAACCGTGTTAGCATCATCAGCAGATGATTAAAACTATTTAGTCATGATTAAATCATCAGCTGATGATGTTAACATTGCACGTCCGGGTTTAAAAATAAAGTATTTTGGTGTATTGTGGTGAGTTAGTGTTGCTGTTGTAACAATAAAGATTCTAACCCCCAACCAGTGATGCCAACTCGTGGGAAATTTCCAGATTCGTGGGAAAAGGAAAATTCAACCCAAAACACCATATTCATGGGAAATTCTAAATTCATTATTCCTAAAAAATTGTTATCGTATACGCATTTTTCAGCAAAGTGTGTAAATTCAAACTAGCATTACCGCAAGTAAATACGCATTTCCCATCCTTTCCCTCGAATGCATGGTAAATTTTAAATAAGTGCAAATATTTCTAGAGATGGTATATTTCGATCCCAGGAACACGCCTATGATTTTTTTGTGCAAAAAAAAATTAAAAGTATATTTCGAAATTCGTTTGGAAAATTTTTAAATTTTCAGTTCAAAAACATAATATTTGCGTTGGGTTGACACCACTCAAACCCCATAGATTTGAGAAAGCGTGGGAATTTTTAGGAAAAATGGGCAATTTTGACCGCCTTCTTGGGAAATTTTATTTCAGAAAGTTGACAGTACTGTCCCCAACTATAATAATTAATATTATTTACCGGAAAAAAAATATTCAGAAAAAAGTAAGACATACAGGGTGAGTTTCCTACGATAGGAGATAGAGAGTCGGTTAAATGGGGAAAGAATTGCAGTTTTGTGGGGTCATATATATGCTTCTTTCAAATTTTTGAAAAAGTTCATGGTTTACTAGATATTTCGAAAAAAACAAATTTTGCCTATTTTAAAAATTGTCCCTAATTCCATTATAATCTATTTTAGAAAATTTCAGATAAAAGTTTTAGATAATCACATCCCTAATGAGATTGTGTTCTCCGATTTTTTCTAAAGCCTGTCATTTTTGACATATGACACATATGTTTTTTTTAATGGAAACCATACCATGACTTCATAAAAAGCGCAATTTTTTAAACTTTTCGGCGATATAAGCTATAATATGTTTCTTTCACAAAATTACTGAGTTATAGCCAATTCTTATCTTTCTTTACAAATTTCACTTAGTTAGCCATGGAAACAAGTTAAATCGTCGTTGCTCTCAGAAATGTGAAACTGTCACATCCAAACTTTGTAAATTTACATAAACAAAAATTGTAAATATGAATTTTTCAGATGATGAAAAGCGTGTAGGATTATTGGTTCAACTTTTCTTGGCCGTACAGTTCCGAGGATACGTTCACCGGTGAATTTTACTTACGTTTTTTGGAGAACGGTTTTCAAGACATGTTAGAAAAGTTAAATTTAGATACTCGCGCATTAATAGAATGGTTCCAACATGATTTTCATTATGAGACACCACCCCCACCCCCACAATGAAATAAATGCTAAAACTTATTTATATCATAATTATGATATAGGGATAGATCAGGCATAGAAAGAGGTGGACTAATTGAACGGTCCTCAGGGAATCACCTGACTTATCCATTTTAGATTTTTTTATGCGGTATGGTTAACACCAAGATTTACAACAGAACTTATGAATTAAGAGAGGCACTCGAAGAGGCGGTACAGGAGAAGTTTGATAAAGCCGACCGGTCGTTCTGTGGGAATAGCTAGAAATACAGTTTTAAAAAGATGCATTTATGTACTCCAAACAATGGCGGATTTTTTGAACATTTTCTAAAATAACTTAAAGTGTATGTAGTGATATTATTTTAAGTTTTAGTTTGTGTAATGTAAATTATAAAGAGCCGTTGAGTAATATATTTTGTCTTTTTATAAGTTATAAATCATAACAAAATAAAAACACCATGACAAAGTGAAATTAGATAAGAAAAATAAGAATTGGCTATAACACAGTAATTTTTTGAAAAAGACATAT